GCACACATGCATTTTTGCTAAATTCATTTTACTTTCACTCCTTATCACAAATGTCCTACCCCGAGGGCCAGTAACAAAATTTGATCGAAATGTGCATAATTAACACCAAAATAATTGCACTTACTGTGAACGAGGAGTCACTACACTCTTAAAAACAATGATGTACTTTAGAAAAGTTAATGCACTCTGAACCCTAAATATATGAAATCCAAAGTAACGTTAACTGGATAAAGAGTAAAGTTTACCCTGGACTTAGCTTAGAATTCTGACTGAATTAACTTCTCAAACGAGTAACATTGTTTTTAAGAGTGTGATAAGTGCACTAAAACTTTAATTACGATTCTAACTGCACGTACTGTTGACGAGAAGTCAATACTTAATACTTAAAAATAATGCTACCATTTTGATAAGTAAAAGCATTCTGACCCCTAAATTAAATAAACTATTCGAAATCCAGAATAACGTTAATTTAATAGGATTAGTCTGGATTTAGTATAATTTACTCATTTTAGAATTCCGAACGCAATTGGTTTTCACAGGGTGACATTATTTTTAAGAGTGGAGTACGTGCATGAAAACTTTAATTCCCCACCCAACTAATTCCCAACAATCAAAAAAATAAAAAAAGTCCCTAAATCCCTAAGTCCCACCACCACGAGGAAGCCTACTTCAGGTTATGTTATTGACCTGACCCAAGGCCACAGGTCAGGCCTCAGGTCAGGTCTAACCCCACTCTCAAGGGACGACGACTGCTCTCACCCCCTATCATTGAGTGTATGGTGGCTGGGCGGGCCAGTTCAGGAGGGTTCCGTTGCTCAATTTCAGGCAGTCTCACCAAGCCCTTTCGGTTCATGGGCTGGCGTCATAGACCGCCCGCTCTGAGATTGGCCCCCTCCCTTCCTGGACCACAACCACGGCCTACACCCCAAGGGAACCCCCACACCCCCCGGGGAAACTACCACCCTTTTGGTCCTTATCCCCCCCACAACAACCTTTCGAAGCCACACCGGGCTCTTACCGCTACTGGGGGCCACACCGGACACCCCACCAGCTCTCCTGGTCACACCGGACCCCCACCATCTCTCTGGGTCACACCGGACCCCCCAAAACCTCTCAGGGTCACACCGGACCCCCAAAACCTCTCAGGGTCACACGGACCCCCAAAACTCTCAGGGTCACACCGGACCCCCAAACCTCTCAGGGTCACACCGGACCCCTAACCAACACTGGGAGTCACACCGAGCTCCCACTTTTCTTTCCAAGAAAGAAAAAAAAAGTTTCTTTCAGAAACAAACTCACCAATAATTGAGAGAAAATAGAAAACACGACTGCATCAGAGGAAGTACAAAATGCGTTTGAGCAAATATTGCACTTTCTTCGGTTATTGTGGATGGTTAATGACAAGAATGGCTTGCAAGTTTGCAAGCATGTAAACATATAGAGAGATAATAGAACATACATAGATAGTAGCATCTCCATGTCCGGAAGGCCGTATGCAAATTCCTAAATTAACCTATGGTTCACCTACATATGTACATATTAAAGCCGCAGCATTTTCTTGCACAATTTTATTTACATGATTTGCGTTTCCTCGCTAATATTCCCGCAATTCGTAACATTCGTCAAGATTTTCAAATTACAAACGTTGTGGAAATTTAAAAACTGAAAATTTAAGCGTTTAAATTTTCAAAATTTAATCTCATTAGCCTGATAATAAAGAAGTTGGTGGAAACACGTTATCGTTATTTAGCTCATAATTCCAAAGTCACATAATCCGGTCAGTTTGCAAAACATGATTCCCAGGTTTTCGAAAAAATTGAGGGCGTGGTAGTAGGTGGGGCAAAAATTATAACCAAATTTGCATTACTGAGTTTTACCACCAGTGTGTACGTAGAAGGGCAACATATGTACATACCAGTAAGGCCACATAGTTCGACTATTGTTAAAATAAATTATTCAATCCGCACCCACCAGGGGTGTGGTCGTTAGCGCTTCCGGTGTTAGTCAAGTGAAGTACGCACTGTGACACGAATAATTTATCGGACTGGAATGGGGATCACGATGGACTCCACCAATTACAAAAAGCCACACCCCCAGTGGGTGTGCCTTCAGGTATTATCCTCGCAAAAATTTCCGACGAAAAAACTTTGCATTCTATATATCGAAGCATAAAATAAATCTTTATTGTAACTTCTGATTACAATAACCACGCCCCCAAGTGGGGTATTATAGGCACATTAGTAGCACATTCATTGGGTAGCAGGCGACACAAATAATTTGGGAATAAAAAGAGGTCCCTTCTTATACCTACGAATTTCAATTAGTGATAACCACACCCCTGGGCACTGGTCTATGGCTCCAAAATGCGGGTATTGTGAACTCAAAAGTTGCGCCCGTTTTCGAGCAATTAAAATCCGAAATTCGGTTTCTCAGGTTTCCAACTTATGGAAAAGTCGGATTTTCCCCGATTTTTTTCTCGGTTATTTGAGCGGTGCATGAGTAGCCACAATCTCATGTTGCCCCACATAGGCGGGATTAATGGGCGGGGAGGCCAAGTTTTCGGATAAATTCGGCTTAGCCGGCTAACTTCATCCAAACTAAAAAAAAAAAAAGGAGAGGCCAACTTCACACTAATGCTTATGTACATAGCGAAATGAATCTGCTTGCCAAAATATTTATTTACTTACTTGTGTATGTACATATCTATGCTCACACTCTTATATAGTACCGTTACCATTTTTTAAAGTAAATGCACTCTCGATTTTATATGAAGGATCCATTGCATACGGGTTTTGAATTTAAATTTTCGTGTCTCAACTTTCCTTTCTTCCACGCATTCAAATAGCGATTTAAAATCTGTCCATCTTTTAAATAGTGAAGATTTTATTGAATCAAAAAATCGATATTTTTTTATATAAATACATAAGTTTCAAAAGTTATAAGTTAAGTATAATTTATATTTTTTTCTTTCATGAGAAAATATTGAATTCGGTTAACAAGCGAGAACCCTATAAGTATACTGTTCCACCTGGATTTTTTCCAACAGAATGATAATCTCCTCATTTGACAGATATAGGGCATCCAGAATTGGAAAATTTTGAAAACCCGGTTTTCGATTTTTCAGATTTTTACATTTTCGTGAAACACCTAAAAATGTGTGAAATATAACATGGTAAAATTAAAGTGATCAAACTTTGGGCATGAATTAGGAAAAAAATATATCAGAAGAATTTATTTTTGCATGAAAAACAAGAAATGACTAATATTTTGTAGTTCTACAACAATTTTTATCAAAAATCGAAAACCGGTTTTCGGGTAAATCGAAACCCGGTTTTTAATCGATTTTACAAAATCGGAAAAACCGATTTTGGATGCCCTAGACAGATATCAGATATTTCAAAAACAAAAACAAAACTTATCCTAGAAAAAGTAGTGGAAATTGGGGTTCAAACGAAATAGTTTTGCAAATCGTTGGAGAAATATTGTACAATATGTCTAAATACGTACATATGTAACTAGGATAATTCCGTCCTTCACCTCTATATCTTGCCTTGGATCCATACACATACACTGCGAGATTTTCAATTGATTTGTCAAATTTTGTTGAAATTTCAAATAATTTGCACAATTCTAAAGATTTTCCGCTACTTAAATAAAACCCTTAACAATTAAAAAAACGCCAATTATTATAAAGTTTTAAATAATTTTCGAAATTTGTATGCACACATTAAAAATCCATTTGTTCTCAAAAATTTGTACAAATTAACCTAAACTGCACAATGTCAAACATTTGTATATGGACATAAATTAGAAACATTTCTATGTTTTCAAGAATTTATACACAATAAAACACTACACGGCTATATACATATTTACATATGTATGCAGTTTTACAAATTTGTAAATTAAAATCTTTGAAAAATTTCAAAACATTTGACAAATCCAAACAATTTGGGAGAATAGTTATTATTCAAATTGTAATTTAGTGGACAATATATAAATAAGTGAAAATTTATTTCTTGACATTTTAATGATTAAAAAAACTAGTTCTCGTTCCATACATGTACCAATGAAGTTGTATTTCTGGACTACTAATGATTAAGCTATTCATGAGCTAATCAATGTAAACAGAACTGGTTAAGATAAGATGACAATAAAACTTGATGCTGAACTAACAAGTTACAGATACTAATATTTAATACAGAGAAGAGCTCATTAGGTCGGCTTTAGGGGCGAATGAAATCTTGCTTAGACATAAAAAACGTTGCTAACGTTCGTACGTATGGATCTGCTTGCTTGAAGAATAATCAATGAAATTAGCGGCCTCTACCTCAATTGTTATATGGTTTTTCCTACTAATCACAATAGAATTTTTCACTCAACGTTCTTCAAAACATGTC